CGACTGAATTGAGGTGGTCGCCGTTTCTCTTGCCAACTGGGCTTCTGATTTTCTTCTCAATTCTGGTAAAAACAGCTTCTCTTCAAGTTCCCGACTCGTGTCTGCCTGGTGGTCTGGCCCTGCTCACCCCACTGCATCTGTCTTCAGCTGTAGGGAAAACAAAGGAGCGAGCCTCCTTGTAACAGATTACTCTTTCTTTAGAAGAAAAGAAATTGAGCCAGGTCAGTAAAGAGGCCCAGGTGAACTTACATATGGGCTTTATTTGCCCCGAGGTCTAAGTTTCAAAACAAGTTTTTTAGGTTAGCTTACCACTTAAAAATCCAATTTTGTCAGTGAAGCACACAAACATCGTACTGTGTCAGCTCATGGTTGAAAATCTGGTTTTCTGGCCTTGCTTAAAAAGTTGGGAGACGAGGCAGCGCTACAGTGTCTGTGACAAAATCGGCTCGATGACAGTGGAGCTTTTTGAAGCAGCTCTGGGCTCCCCTCTTGTCTGGCCCTGCAGGGCAGCAGCTAGCCGCCTCCGCGCAGCCCCCGGAACGCAGTTCAGCTCGGGCTGCTGGCCCTGGAAGCAGCCTAGTGAATATTCACCCTCCATCAGTATTTACTTTCTTTCTTGGTAAAAATTACAATAAGGTTGCCCATTGAGTGAGTTCTGAGTCACAGTGACCCTGTCTGTACAACACTGAAACACTACCTGGTCTCCCACCAGCCTAGCCTCACAGTTGTCACATCTCAGTCCACTGTTGCAGCCACTAGGTCAGCCCATCCCCTCAGGGCCTTCCTCGTTTTCACTGCCAACCCCCCCACCCCCCTTTTACCAACTAGGATGTCTTTTTTCAGAGACCGGTCTCTCCTGATAACATGGCCCAAGTATGTGAGATGAATTCTTGGTATTCTTTCTCCCAAGGAGCACTCTGGCTATACTTGCTCCAAGACAGATCTGTTCATCCCGTTCCGTACTCTTCTCCAGCACGGTCAAGCAAATGCGTGCACAGCAAGCGTGTGCCCCTTCAGCAATCCTACATGACCGGTTCGGGGACAAGGACCACACTCCTCACTGGGTGTCGCTCCTGCCGTCTCCAGAGTATTTCATTACCACGCGTGCAGACCCGCTGCCTCCTAGACTTCTCGTCTCTGCTGTGGCCACGGTGGTCACTTTGATCTGCTGTCGAGAATGGCTTTTTCTTTTTTTCTTTAATCATTTTATTGGGGGCTCATACAACTCTTATCACAATCCATACATACATCAGTTGTGCAAAGCACATTTGTACATTCGTTGCCCTCATCATTCTCAAAACATTTGCTCTCTACTTAAGCCCCTGGCATTAGCTCCTCATTTTAACTCCCTCCCTCCCCACTCCCCCTCCCTCATGAACCCTTGATAATTTATAAATTATTATTTTGTCATATTTTACACTGTCTGACGTCTCCCTTCACCCACTTTTCTGTTGTCCGTCCCCCAGGGAGGAGGTTATATGTAGATCCCTGTAATCA